GTATTATTTAGAATTAGTCATACAAAGAAACAGCTCTTTTTTTCACCTCATAGTAGAGCTTATTCTCTCTTCCCACCCCCAAATGCCTTTGAATGAAAATTCTGAAATTGTAAATGTCTATTTTAATACTCAAGTATGATGAATCTGTGAATATATGTAAAATATGTTTAATAAATTTTATTGGTCATGTTAAATCATTGTAAAACTTTTTTACTTGCTAAAGCATAATGTTTTAAGCTTAATAACCTTTGCACTTTTAAAATAAAAACTGAGTACTCCAATGAAAAAAGAGATATTTGGTAGTCAAAATGAGTAAAAGAAACAGGCATATTCCAATTGATCTCTACAATGTTTATGAAAAATTCATTAATATGCTGTATTTTTTCCTTGTATCAAGATATAAAGCATAATTTTCAGAATTTTATAATTAAGATTTGGTATGCTGTTTTTAATAAAATAATTAGCAATATACTTAGAAAAAGTCCAGCTCCTCCTATACCATAATACAGATTAAATATTCAGGAATATTTCTGATCTGAAACCTGCTGCTAAACTTATTAAACATTTTTGAAAGGAAAGTTAGGTTATGTGTAAAATTGATTATAAGTGTATGAGATTAAAATTTATAGAACTTTCCACAATACTTTCTTGAATTATAAAATAATACTGGATGTTTTTTATTCTGATAGAGCAAAGTAAAAAGAATATATGAGAAATAAAGTGTTTAAAATTCAGCTTGCAAGTTGGAAATTCCAGCTGATGGAAAAATTGAAGTTGTTGAGTGCAAAGGTACATATTAAGCTTAGGGATTTTTGAATTTTTACATCAATTTATATTTAAATTCATATTGTACTTGGCATGCGCAATAAAGAAGCACGTGTAAGAAATACACAGTGCAAGGACTTTAATATAGAGGTTGGATGTAGTAGTGTTTAGAAATTTAGATGAGATATTTTGGCCTTTTTTATTGGATAAATGGGGCCAAGAAAGGCAGGGTAGATTTTGAAGCACTGGTTTTGTTGAAGTTAAGTTTATTAAGTCTGGGAACATTAAAAGCTAATTTATAAAAGCAATACTTTTTAATATGAAAAACTTAATGCAAATTTTGTGTATTCTTTTGCCTAAACAAAAAACAAACAGATTTTTGAGCATTGAAGTCATAGAAAATATGAGAGGGTAAGTTTGTAAGCATTTTGTGCTGATGGTCCAACCTGAGAAGGGGGTGTGGGAGAACAGTTTGGCCAAACAAAACAAGCTGCAGAAGAGAAAAAGCAAGCACGCAGGAATCTGGCATGTTTTAGTCATCCCAGCTTTTTAGCATTAACCACAGTTCTCACCCTCTACAATGGTACCTCAAGTGGCTGGAGCATCTCTGCCATGACTCTGCTTGTGCAGATTTCCTTTGTAAAATGACAAAGCTAATCAGGATAGCTTAAAAGAAAAGTGAATGCCTTTCCTGGAAACATAAGTAAGTAGCTAAGGGCTTATGATATTAAAAATATTCTGAAGCTCTGAAATGCTAGAAAAAACTTGGAATGTAGTATATATATGCTTAAAAAGATTTAGGATCTGAAAGAGGAACAAAGGATAGTTAATTTAATCAGTGGTTTTTTTCTTAACTATTCAAATAACATGAACAAGATACTAAATTGTACCTAAGGATTTGTATTTCTTTAAATCTTGTTCTAAATCATATCTGTTTAATAAATGACTAGATATTTGTGCATGTTATTTAATAAAGAGTTATATTTTTATAGAAAAGTGAATTGTGTGCTAATTTTTTTTTTAATTTTCCACTCCCATATGATTCTACACCAAACACTAATATTTACCTGGGCAGCTAGCAAAATGGAAGAAATACTCACTTTGGGGAAACAAACAGCATCTGAAGAATTGGTCTTTCAAGTCTATTCAGTAATGAGGTCTCAAAAATGAATTTTAAATGTTACACATGCTGCAAAACTTCATAACTGCAAAAACCTTATGGAAAGACCCCATGAAGCTCATTTTAATGGACTTATGAATTACACACTTATTCTAGAAATTGGGTACTGTACTAAATATTTTCCTTAGTTATCCAACATGTGAGCAGTATTTTTTATTCTATGGTATCCTGACATAAAACCCCAAAACTTGATACAGAGGAACTTACCCATTTGAAACTCATGATACAGTTTTATCTTCTTGTATTTTAAAGAAAGCATTTTCATATTTAAAAAAAATCCTTTCAAACATTCAAGGCAAAAAGATTATTACAAGAGATACTAATCTTTGGAAAAGCTTGTTTGAAGTTTAATTGGTTAAAATACCTTGTAATTCATTTCTTAGTGGCTTCTTGGGACCATAGTTTCCTTTGTACCTAAAATGGTGATACAAAACCTACACAGAAGTAGTTATTTAAAAAAACAAAAATCAGAAAGTAAACTTAAAACTACAAACTAACATTGGTCTTGAACATATTCATGTCTTAGTGACATTCAGTTAGGCAACAATTCCTTAATTAGGATAGAAAAAGTACAAACCATAAAAGAAAAAACTTGATAAATAGGACTTCATTAAAATTTAAAACGTTTTTTCTTTAAAATCACTTAAAATGAAAATGTAAGTGAGAAAAGATAGGTTAAAAACATATCTGGTCCTAGCCGGTTTGGCTCAGTGGATAGAGTGTCCGCCTGCAGACTGAAGGGTCCCGGGTTCTATTCCGGTCAAGGGCACATGCCCAGGTTGTGGCCTAGGTCCTCAGTAAGGGGCGTGCAGGAGGCAGCCGATCAGTAATTCTGATGATTGATGTTTCTATCCCTCTTCCTTCCTCTCTGAAATAAAAATATATATTTTTTAAATATGATAAAATATTTTATTCGGGAAAATGTAAAGATAAAGTTTTCAACTCAATAAGAAAACAACATTTTACTAAAGAAGATATATGAATGGCAAGGAAAAAAAACACATAGCAAAGTGCTCAACATCATTAGTCATTAGGGAAATCAAATTAAAACCACAATGTTATACCAGTATCTACCAACTAGAATGGCTAAAATTAATGTTTAAAATACCAAGAATTGGAGAAACTGTTGAGCAACTAGAACTCTTCGATTGCTGGTAAAAATGCAAAATGCTACCACCATTTTGGATATCCATTTAGTAGTTTACAATATAAAAAATACACTTACTATAAAAAATACCATCAATTTCACACAAATATTTACCCAAAAGAGGATAACTTCATATTAACATAAGAATTTTTTGTTAAATTTACTATTACCAAGTACTTTTTTAAATTTATTTTTATTGTTGATACTATTACAGATGTCCCCATTTTCTTCCCCTTTACCCACTTCAACCCAGCCCCTGCCTCACCTTCCCTCTGGCCATCTCCACACTGTTCTCTGTGTCTGGGTGTCATGCATATATGTTCTTTGGCTAATCCCTTCACCTTCATCCAGTAACCCTTCTCCCACCCCTCTGACAGCTGCCAGTCTGTCCCATGTATCCATGCCTCTTTGTCTATTTTGTTCAATTAATTTTGATAACAGGATTCCACATATAAGGCATTTAAGACTGCTTCTAGCTTAAGACTTTAGCACTAGGTCAGTATTTCCAAGAAGAAATACCTTGTGAATCATAGCCCAATGGGCTCCAACTTAATCTTTCTGGAATCTTTTTTAAAAATATATTTTTATTGATTTCAGAGAGGAAGGGAAAGGGAGAGAAATAGAAACGTCAATGATGAGGATCATTGATAGGCTGCCTCCTGTAGCCCCCTACTAGGGATGGAGCCTGCAACCGGGCATGTGCCCTGACTGGGAATCCAACCACGACCTTCTGGTTCATAGGTCCACCCTCAACCACTGAGCCACACCTGCAAATTCCCAGGGTTGTGGAAAGGAACTGGGTACAATTCTCCATTGCCTTTATCTACATGCTAGCTGTTGTTGAAATGAATTCACTTTCTTGAAATATGGGCTGCAATGAGTTCTGGCATCCTGCTTGCTAGGTCTGCCCTCTCCTACTGAGGCTTGGAGTGGTGCACTGTAGCCATTTGTCGAGTTGTCTGTCCGAGTTCTCCGCAGGCCAGTAAGCTTTTTCTTGGCCTGCTCCTATGGCATGTCCTCACTTCTATTTACAATGCTAAGCACAGTGCCAGGCACTCCCTCAGGGCACAGCAGACTTTAGTGAGCTGCTGGAAGAAGGCTCTGCCCTGGGGGATCCTTATTCAGTCGGTCTCATGCAGATCCCAGAATCCTGTATTTTAACAACCCCGACCCCTGATGTCAAAGAACAAGGTCAGCTCCACTGATCACTCAGTGCCTCAGTCTTGCATCCCTCTAGTCCAGCGGTTCTCAACCTGTGGGTTGCGACCCCTTTGGGGGTCGAACGACCCTTTCACAGGGGTCGCCTAAATACATCCTGCATATCAGATATTTACATTACGATTCATAACAGTAGCTACATTACAGTTATGAAGTAGCAACGAAAATAATTTTATGGTTGGGGGTCACCACAACATGAGGAACTGTATTAAAGGGTGGCGGCATTAGGAAGGTTGAGGACCACTGCTCTAAGAGGACTTGTAACAGCTAGCTGCCTCACAGGGCTGCTGTGAGGATTCAGTGAGCTCAGTCCCGTGACTAGCACATAAGTGCAGAGAATGGGCCTGGCAGTAGGGCCTGCGAAGCCTGACGTGGGGCAGGGAAGAGGGCTGAGAGAAAGCGCGCGTGGGCGCCAGGGTGGGTGTGTTCCTGGGGCGGAGCCATGGCCCGGCGGGGGCGGGGCGGGGAGGGGCGGGCCGGGGCGTGCGCTCTCCGGGGCGTCGGGGCGTGAGAGACGTCTCCCGCGGAGCTGGCGGTGCCGGGACCGAGGCG